ACCACATCCAGAGCAACACAAACCGCAGAGGACACCGAACGTCGGCCAACAGCATCGCGCCTCATATCGAGACCACATCCAGAGCAACACAAACCACAGAGGACGCTGAACCTTGCCCAAGAGCATCGCGTCTCATATCGAGACCACATCCATCCAAAAAGACACAACACCGCGACACTGCACAAACACCACACACCCCAAATCATGGCGAAATCGCTAGATAGCGGAGAAATCAACAACGGCAACACAATACAAACACGAGCGAAGATCAAAGAGGGCACACACGTGTCGACACAACAGCACCCCAAAAAGCCAACGTGCCGCAAAAGTAGAGCTCACAAAACCGTTAAGAAATCAGTTCTCCGGCAACAGAAGCCGCAAAGTTCAAGATCCTATGGCCCAATATTCCTGAAAAGAACCGGCTCAGTGCGTTTCATGGGGAGGGCGACTAAGCTTTAGGAGTATGGGTTGATACGTCGAGATATAGGAGCAGGCATGAGCCGGACCTCAGGGTTTTAGGTTTTAAGAAAAGGTTTTTGCAACTTTTTGGTAGGATACATTGGGATATTTCTGAGATGAAAGTCTGGGACAGACATTTTTTCTGTCGCGAGCGGAGGCTCGTAAGCAAAACTGGGTAAGGCTCCCAGCATAACCCCGGGTTGATTTGTGAGGTCCCTGGCCTCGATCTATCTTTGGAATGTTAAAAGGCGCTTGATTGCCAAAAAAAAACAAAAACAAAAAAAAAAGTTTAAAAACTGTTGACTTTCAGATACTCGATGGATCGGAGCTAGACTTGTATAAACCGGGGAGCACTGTTCCCCTAAGTACCATACATCAGATTGCGTAATGGTACACTACCACAAGGCCTGACTGGCAATGGCTGCCCCCCACTCCCTCTGTTTTTCTCCACTGTAAATAGTGCTGCTTTGTCTTCTCTCTTTGTTGAATCGAGCGCCTATGCCGCCTAGTGAAAAACTAAAAGTACCTGCCCACTCATCATTTTTGTCAGGCTAAGGCCTACCAGGTCAACGACTCAAAAAAACGATTCACCTACCACATAAGAGTTCACAAGTCCTGGGTTCAAGACGCAATACCAAATATTGTACTCAAATGGGCCAAGTTCTGGGTTCGAATCCAGCCTGAGCGCATCAATGAATTCAATCCTTATGCATACCAACATCTTCCCTGGAATAGAATGCAAGCATTGTGAGCTCATCATATCCGTATCTGGCATGACAATCGCTCCAAATACAGAGATACGGACTAAATGATGTCATAGTGCTAATCAAAGGAGATGACCTGCTGTGAGTTCCAGAATCTGTGTCAGTGCAGGTCTGACTGGGGCAATGTTACATGCTGCGCATGCACACGCAGGCCATTTTCCAGGCCCTGCGCCCTTCAGCCAAAAAGCCTGGAATTCAGCCTGAAAACAGGGGCCTACGGTCCCTGTGTCGTTTCAAACTAAAAATGGCAAGATCCTTTTTAGCCTGAAACGAAGGGCTATTTTCGGTCGTTCACCAGAACGACCGGCCCTGAAACTCAGGCACCAAACCAGGGTTTCAGGAACAGGCTATTCTTAGCCTGTATCCACGCCAGCCTCAGCAGATGCTGCAGTTCCAGCCCATGGCACACTTCAGCATTGGCAAGAGCAGCCTCCTCGGCCTGGCTGGCCCTTCAGGCAGTCAGGAGGCAGGTCGTGGATTGGCAAGAGCAGCCTCCTCGGCCTGGCTGGCCCTTCAGGCAGTCAGGAGGCAGGCCGTGGATTGGCAAGAGCAGCCTCCTCAGCCTGGCTGGCCCTTAGGAGGCAGGCCGTGGAAGTATATAGGTACCCCCCCAGGCACTTCACGATTCATTCAGGAGTTGTAGTCTTCAGGATTCGGGAGCAGCACTCTGGAGGGAGCACTGCAGTCTAGTAGTAGTAGCGTTAGCTTGTAGTCTTCAGCGCTGGGCGCAGTAGGTAGCTGTAGTCTCCAGCGCTGGGCGCCATAGCTAGGTAGTACTAGAGAGAGAGAGAGAGCTTGGGCGGAGGCCAGAGGTACCTACCTGCAGCGCCGTTGCTCCAGCTTCGTCTTCAAGGTACCTGCGGCAGCCAACATCACAGGTTAGTATCTGGTTCGTAACAGAGAAAGAGAGAGAGTTCTTCTTCTTCCTCTTCTCAGTCCACCATCTCTTCTCTCCCTCTCAACTTCTGACTTCACTGCATCTGCAGACTATGAGAGAAGAGATACAGAGCTTGGTGACATTTGATCCAGACTCGACTTTTGGRGGTTCAGACATGGCAACGAGGGACTATTTGGGATTGGTGACCAAGACTTGGTGTTAACRACATTCCCATCCTTCTCCCTCCTTTCGTCTGATCCTTATCTCTTCGTCTGTGTATGTCTGGACCTGGCGCTTTCTTCCTGTGTACAGCGCCAGGCTACTTCACACTTGGAGATGGATATCATGCATGTTTAGTCTGAGTTCAAACATTGATTGGGCTAGTTAGTACTACTCTAGCATTCTGTTTCGCTACTCTGAACTACGTGAATGAGGTCAGTCCTGTCAGGTCAGTCTTTGTATCAAAGTCTTCCCTGCGCCATTCAGCACCTTTTGTATGTATGAGAATGTACATCGTCTGTCGAGATTCTACTCGCACTGTATTGTCCAGTCAGTCCTTTTCATCACACTGCAGTTCCTCGGTTATTACGTACATTGCATATCTGTGCATGTAACAGTTGGGATCGGAGCTTCTGCACGTGAATCAGGACACCCTGATCTGACACGTGTGCGGGGACCAAAAAGCTAGTTAGTCTTTATTGGTTGATTAGGACATACTAGTTAGACCCCAAAATCAAGATCTTGAACTCACTACCGAAAATCGAAATTTTTTTATTTTCTTGGATTTTATTTTCTCGCTATTCTGTTGTGGAAAATCGCAAAATCGCAACATCTGAAATTCCCATTTTCGTTTTTCTTCTGAAAATTCGAAATTTCGCTGTTGAAAATCCGGAATATTTTTCTTTTCAAAAATTTCGATTTCCTGTTGCATTTCCCGTTACTTAGAAATTCGGAATATTTTCTTTTCTGAAATTCTTTTTCTGAAAACGGTACGAGAAATACCTCCTGCAGTATTATTTTCCAAACTGCGAATATTCTCATCGGAATAAATTCAAATATTTGTCATTTCGGTTCGGAATTTTTTTTCGCAGTTCTAGGATTCTGTCGTTCAGTTCTATAAATCATTGGCAGTCTAAAGTCGAATTTTTTCTTTCAGTGATCATTTCGCACTTCAAGGGCGGTTGGGAGACCTACCGAACTTGCAAAAATCGGGATCTTTTATTTTTCTCGAAATTTTTTGCAAAGTTCAAACCTTTCTTGTTCGATTAGTGGCTCCTTATCTAAGTGATTGGTCAGGCGATTATCCCACCCACCCCTCCCCACCTATGTTGTTGCCATCTCTCGCCTTTCCGTTTCTGCTGGTATCCAACAGGCCCCCGCCCGGTCTATGCTGTTGCGATCTCAAACAGCAGTCATGGACCAGAGGCCCGGGGAAGCAGACGAGGCCTATCAGGCCCGCATGCTGGCCTGGAGTACCGAGACTAAGAAATGGGCAGATGACGCTGCAGCAGCAGCGTAGAAGAAGGCAGAAGATGCCGAGCAGGCACGTCGGCTGGCACTTGAACAACAGCGCCAGCATGACGAGGCAGCAGCAAGGGCTGCCGATGAGGAAAGAGTCCAGCGTCGTGAGAAGATATTTACCGGAGAGCGGGCGTTACTTACCATGTCAGCGGAATGGCGGACCGAGGCCAAGAATAACCAGTTGGAGGACAGCGCAAACAAGATAGCGCTCCTCCTCTCGCATCTCACGGATCTCCTGGCAACCTGCATTACACAGCAGGCAGAGATCCTTGGTCTCGACAGATCGCTAGCTCACCTCCAAGACCGTTTTCAGCGGTTGGAGCAGCGACCAGTCGCCGCCGCCGACGCAGGCTCATCCAATACTGTCGACCGCCTCAGTGCCTTGGAGATGCACGTCGGCTCACTCCAGGATGGCGCACAGTTACAGCTCACCGCGACGCAACAGTTGCAGCAGCGGGTCTGTACCACCGCCACTACCTCGAGTTCGGAGCCGCGCGAGTCAACTCCAAAGTTTGACGGGCAGGAGATCTTCTGCGACGCCATGAAGACAGATCCGATTCCATGGTTTCGCAAGTTCGAGCTCACGTTGCAGCTCCACAATGTCAAGGAACACAAGCATCACGCCTACTTGTACTCTCGCTCAGGGGGCACGTCTCAGGCTTGGCACCTGGGATGATCTGAAGGCTTGTACTCTCGCTCAGGGGGCACGTCAAGGAACACAAGCATCACCGCCACTACCTGTTGTCCAAGTACGGAGTGGTAGCTAACGACTTGCACACCAAGATCACCTGGGATGATCTGAAGGCGGCGTGGCACAAGCGGTTCCAGGTGGAGCCGTCAGAGATCAAAGCCATGGACAAGCTCATGGTCTTCGAGCAAGGCACGCTGCCGAGTATGGACTGGATCGCCGAGTACCAACGCTTGACGTCAGTCCCAGACATCCAGATGGGCTTCAAGGCCATCCGCCACTACTTCATCTCAAGGTCATGTCCGACATTAAGCAATGCCCTGACTCATGTCGAGGACACCTTGACGACGACGGCGGAGTTGTTTGACAAGGCTGCGCAGATCATTATCACGAACAAGGAGGCCAAGAACCTCCGTTCATCTGCGTCAGGCCCGAGCAGGGACCAGCATTGGCCAAGAGTGGCCGTGGTCGCAGCGGCAGCGCCGTTGGACCAAACCAGTGAGGCTGCGTCTGCCAGTGAAGGGGAAAGATTCGCAGCCGCCCGGGAAGGTGGCCGCCCCGGCAGAGGCCGAGGACGCGGCAAGATGAAGACACACACCGCATCTAGCCCCGGGCCAGGTGCAGCAGCTGAGACAGGCCCATGGACCCAGTATGGCATCTCCGAGCAAGCCTTTAAGGCGCGCAAGAGATTCCACTATTGCCTTTGGTGCAACCGCGATCTTCATCAGACGCAGGGTTGCCCATTGAAAGGCAAGGGCAAACAGGGAAACTGAGCACCACCGAGAGTGACTCGACAACACTCTCGACGCCTTCGGAACCAGTTTCTTCGCGAGTAATCGGCCTTCATTCCGAGGCGCACGCGGAAGTCGATAGTCTTCTTCTACTTTCTTTTGAGGACTATGCTGCCCGGCTCGTTCCTACGCGACATATCGTCTTCAAGTGTGTGCGGTTTCTTATCCGTCCGGCAATCGCGACATATCGTCTTCAAGTGGTTCTTCACGGGATTCGGCGCGCGAGTTCAACATAGAGGTACTGGACCCGCTCACGTCTGAGGACTTTGCATGGCTTCCTCTCCCGACCACAGACCGCTTGCAATGCGCAGCACTTAGCGCTCATCTCCACACTTACTTATCCTTCTATGCACCACCAACTTCACCGATGGATGACGAAGTTGCGGTGGGGGACATCCTTGCGTATACTACCAAGGTGGCCCGCGAGTTTCGCACGCAGCGGTACAATGACAACAACGCACCGCTCATGTATGTCCGCATTGAGGTTGGGCAAGCGTCCTGCAGCGCTTTGCTGGATAGCGGCGCGTCTCGCAACTTCATGAGCTAGTCTTTTATGCAAAGAGTTGGCCTTGGCGCACAAGTTCGGAGGAAGGCAAACCCGACGGCGATTAAGTTGGCGGATGGTAAGACGCAACAACTTCTCGACCGTTACATCGAGGCCGTACCGGTCTACTTCGCACCTCATGCATGCGAACCGGTAACATTCGATATTCTCAACACGGACTTCGACATCATTTTGGGAATGCCTTGGCTCGCAAGTGCGGATCACACGGTCAACTTCCATCGGCGGACTCTTAGCGTTCGCGACGCCTTCGGCGCGGAAGTGGCATGTACTATTCCTCTACCACACTCTTCGATCCGGTGCCAAGTAGTGACGGCCAAATCATTCCGGGC